AAATAATTGTGGTGTGCATTCTAGAACACAAATGAATCTTGATTGGCTCTTCAAGTGAGTCAAACTACTTCCTCTTCCGGTGATCTATAGGGCAGCCCCTGTAGTCAAACTGTGATATCGAGTCTGTGTTGTTAACATAGGGGGCCCAGTCCACAGTCTTGAAGCAAGACTTCCCTTATGTTTATAACGTATAAAGTGTGTGGCCATAACTATATTTAGCATGAGATTATATTGTTATCTAATCCATATTATAAACAAGGAATTCAAATAATTCATTGTTAACACTTTTCGCAAATTACAATTACAAGTGTATGAGGGTCTGCAATGGTTTTTTTATAATGGTGCAGCGGAAAATCTGAAAGAATGTATCGACAGTACAATAATTTCAAAACTGCAAAACTCCATTTGCATTGTTAAATGTTCTCTTTCGTATTACATGTTGCAATTATTGGATACCATTGTTGTGCAGTTATTGTTCAAGGCAGTCATGGCGTTTTATATTTGTTGTTGTCATGGTATATTCTCAGGAGGATCATTCCTTGTCTAACGTCAGACTGTTTATTTTCACCAGAATACTAGATAAAGTATTTTTTCACTTTTTGATACAAAGCTTGGTGTTGTTGAAATTGTCGGTCATGTTATGAACTCTCCTTTCTTACATCACGTATGAACTGAAACACAATGTCAAAGTGTAATTTCATATGTTTTCTAAAGTGCATCATTATATGTTTCAAGATTCATCATTTATTATGTGTTTTTATTTACATTGAGATCTGTTTACATGTATACATTATATTATTTAGTCTCGCTACAAGCCCTTGTATACAGCTCTATGAGAAGGTGTTTAGTCAAGTAGAAGGGGGGGGGGGGGGGCGAAGAGTAAACTATATACTATTCATTTAATATTGCCCGATAATGTTCTTCTTATTGTCTTTTGGTTAAATTTACCTTTATTCTCTGTATGTGATAGTGAATAATTGTCCATGGTTATCCCCAACCAATAAATGTCCGTCTTGGATTATACAAACAGCACGTGGGTAGTACAAGCCATCACTCCCTGTTAGGAGGTAACTATGGAACATGCCATCAGGGGTGAGTAGTAGTACTCTGTGGTTGCTTGCGTCTGCTACCACAATGTAGTCCTCCTTATCTGTATCGACACCACGTGGATATTTCATCTGCCCCTCCCCTGATCCTTCTGTACCATAACTGAAGAGTACTTGACCATCCTGGTCCAATCCCTTTATAGAATGTTCGTTAACGTCACTCACTATAACTACTCCTTGGCTGTTAGTTGTCACATCGAAAGGCAAATCAAACGTACCAGAAGCAGAGAGTGGTGTTGCATTCCCTGTATCTTGTTTGACAATTAACACGTTGTCTGTGTTGCCATCGCATACAACCAACTGACCAGTAGATAGTGTAGTAATACCACGTAGTTGATATGTAGACCCTGTGACTGGTATGTCGCGTATATGATTGCCGTCTGCTGTATAGAAGTAGATTGTGCTAGACCCATCAGTGAATACTACTTGATCATCACTTGTTACTGTAACACGAGTGAATGATTGGCCGATATCTTTCACGAGACTATAATCACTGGCATATATCTTTGTTGTGGATCCTGTTCCACCTGTTGCCACAATATGTCCACTTGCTGTTACTTCAAGATCCAGTATATAGCTTGACTGCAGCTGACTCTTTGAAACAATTGGGCTGCTTTTTAGGGGTCCGACAGTGACTGTAATCGCATAAAATAAGAAACATATAATAAGTGAATATTAATCATCTGAATCACGAAATCATGTTGTAATACTGTTTGTAATATAACAGAAAGCTTTTGATATACGTTTTCAGCCCAACTTATATTGCAACTTTAACTTTTAAATGACGCAAAACCACTGGGGAGCCCAACCTATATTGCAATTTTAACTTTTAAATGACGCAAAACCACTGGGGAGGAAGGTTTCTCAAATAAAGTAACCAGGAAAGTACATTTCGTGAGAAATGTGTCCAAATCGAGGGAATTGATTTGTGAATATCCTAGCAATGACAGAATTAATTTCTAGTTGTCATCATATTTTGAAAGCGGAACTCACGAACTACGTACTTGCCGAATATTCTGTTGTGATTTGAAGGATGAAAGTACCCTATCATCGATTCAAGAGTTCCCTCCCAAGTGCTATCCCTGACTTGTACAAGTACAGGTTTGCGTATACGTATTCAAAATTACTTATATTGAAAGCTCTCGAATAATAAATTGAAAAATGGCATATTTCATACCTTTACTTTGTGATTTGTTTTGTACGGTCTTGTGACAATTGATTAGGTTCGCCAGTTCCTATTAAATATGTTATAAACTGCACATTTAGGCTAATAAAAAGGGTTAATAAGTGTTCGCTCAGTGCAATCGCTCATTCCTTATTTCATCTCCAGTCCAGGGATTTTAAATATAACTTACATAAACTGTCAACTCAAATTTAAACAATTTCTAGTATTGTTCTTATGGCAAATGTAAATCTTATCTCAATATTTCCCATCGTGTTCTCTTTGGTTATGTCAAAGAATGACCGAGAAAATACTCTTCAAACATCTTAAACAAATCACCTGATTTCATGACATTATCAAAGTTCTCATGACTTCAGGAAATACTGGAATATGGCTCCAAATAATAAAGTTGGAGAAGAAAACATTGATAGAATACATGAAAAGGAATGGGGAAACAGTTACACAAGTTATATTTATTCATGCATTGAGATACATTGCTTTATGATGACTCCAATAGCTTCTGGTTAGGCATTGCTCAGTATTCAAAGATGGAAATAGAGAAGGGAACATGTATTGAGGGTAACTGTAGTTATGAGAAGATTCAGACATTTACTTATGGACTGGACACAATGCAGCAAGGGTGTCAAATAAGTTCCGTCCCCCCTCTACAGCCAAAACCAAGATATTTGATACCAAGTGTGATATATCATTGGAAAGGTCTTCCAAAGTTACGTTGATTGGTATACATCTGACACATGTCAATCAATCTCCCAAATTTTTACATTGTATCAATTGAGGTGACCATATGTCTAGAAACATGGCAATTTGGCGTATTTGGCAGGATTTTAAGAATCGAGTATAAGAAAGGTCAAGGGACCAAAAGATGACTAAATATGTTTATGGCGATAAATTTAACCAATTTCTGGATAGGATTCGATGTGTAGAAAATAAAGGTGCAAAGAAAGTGCTGAAAACTTTTTTGTAACAAGTGGAATGAAAGATTATCTTTTTGACGTATTTCTGAGCAAAGCCGATTCTTTTGATAATTATATTTTTAGTGCATGTCACGAAAATAACGATTCAAATAAATGTAAAACAAAAACATGTTCAGTTAAAATAATCGAATTCTCTATTTCAGTTAGTTGTTTTATGTTTTTGTGCGAGTTTGCACTCCATCTCCACTTTGCAGAACATGCTCTTCAAGCTGACTTCGTAAAGGACCCCGTTAACTAAAACTAAAGCATCACAATTCTCTATTCAAATGTGTTTTTATGTTCTTGTGCGAGTTTGTCCATCATCTCAACAGTTTACAAAACAGGTTAAACTAAAAGATAATTATTTAGTTGAAATAATCGAATTTCAACGTGTTGTTTTATGCCCATCTTCGAGTTTGTCTACCATATCCGGAGGTTGTAGAGCACGCTCGCAAAACTGACCACGTGCCAAGACCTCCGTTAACTGAAACAAAAACATATTCAGTTGAGACGATCGAATTCTCAACGGGTTGATTTATGGTCTTGTGGGAGTTGCAGCACTCTCGAAGCTGACCATGTAAAGGACCCTCGCTAACTAAAATTAAAACATATTTAGTTGATCTAATTGACTTCTCTATTTCAATGGTTGTTTTATGCTTTTGTGCGAGTTTGCCCACCATATCCGGAGGTTGTATAACACGCTCGCCAAACTGACTTCGTAAAGGACCCCGTTAACTAAAGCTAAAACATCATTATTCAGTAAATATTATATAATTTTCTATTCCAATGTGTTGTTTTATGCTCTTGTGCGAGTTTGCCCACCATATCTGTAAGCTACAGAACACGCTCTCCGAACTGACCACGAACCAGGAACTCCGTCAACTAAAACAAAATACATTTGTGCAGGTTGCAAAACACGCTCCCGAAGCTGACCATGTAAAGGACCCTCGCTAACTAAAACTTAAATATATTTAGTTGATCTAATTGACTTCTCTATTTCAGTGGTTGTTTTATGCTCTTGTGCGAGTTTGCCCACCATATCCGGAGGTTGTATAACACGCTTGCCAAACTGACTTCGTAAAGGACCCCGTTAACTAAAGCTAAAACATCATTATTCAGGTAATATAATATAATTTTCTATTCCAATGTGTTGTTTTATGCTCTTGTGCGAGTTTGCCCACCATCTCTGTAAGCTACAAAACACGCTCTCCGAGCTGATCACGTACCAGGAACTCTGTCAACTTAAACAAAATACATTCAGTCGAAATAATAGAATTCTGTATTTCAGTGGGATGTCAGATGCTCTTGTTCGAGGTTGCTCTCCATCCCGAAAGGCTATAAATATGCACCCCAAGCTAACCACGAACCAGGACCTCCGTTAACTGAAACAAAATCGCATTTTAAATCAAAATAGTTATCTGTTTGAATGGCTTCATACGCTATAATAAATTCCTAATTCTGTCAAATCATACCGGGACATTCTGCATCATTACAAGACCGTGTGTCCGTCAGATCACTTGAATTGCATTGTCTTCCTCCATGAGCTGGGGCTGGGTTGTCACATGCCCTTGTGCGAGTTTGCTCACCATCTCCGCAGGTTGTAGAACACGCTCCCCAAGCTGACCACGTACCAGGGGTTCCATTTACTGAAACAAAAACATATTCGGTTAATAAATCAAATTCTTTACCTTTATGAATGACTTCATACGCTATGATAAATTCCTAATTCTGTCAAATCATACCGGGGCATTCGGCATCATTACAGGGCCGTGTGCCCGTCAGATCACTTGAATTGCATTGGCTTCCTCCATAAGCTGGGGCTGGGTTGTCACATGCTCTTGTGCGAGTTTGCTCTCCATCTCCGCAGGTTGTAGAACACGCTCCCCAAGCTGACCACGTACCAGGACCTCCGTTAACTGAAACAAAATCGCATTTTAAATCAAATTATTTATCTCTTTGAATGACTTCATACGCTAAAAATAAATTCCTAATTCTGTCAAATCATACCGGGGCATTCTGCATCATTACAAGACCGTGTGTCCGTCAGATCACTGGAATTGCATTGGCTTCCTCCATGAGCTGGGGCTGGGTTGTCACATGCTCTTGTACGAGTTTGCTCTCCACCTCCGCAAGTTGAAGAACATGCTCCCCAAGCTGACCACGTACCAGGGGCTCCATTTACTGAAACAATAACATATTCGGTAAATAAATCAAATTATTTATATATATGAATCTCCCCAAGCTGAACCACGTTCCAGGGCCTCCATTAACTGAAACAAAAAAGAAGGTAGAAAGAAAAATACCTCAAAACCAATGAAAAAGCTAAAGCAATTTTTTCTTGTAGTATACCTTTTAGACGTTTTTCTGTGTAGAGAACCCACTCATCATCACGTATGATATGAGGATCAGAAGTTGAGTTTGGTTGTGTGGAGAGAAGATCGCAAGTTGCATTTTTGGTGTTAAAATTCACTGCGACGCACTTCGGACTGCAAGTTTGCTTTCCACACGTTAATAAGCATTGAACGGCTGCGATTTCCATATCATATCGGCGGAACTCCATAACCGATTCACTGATTCTCGAAGAGTTGTAAAAGTGACCATTGTTTCGGTAATGCTTATAAGAGACTCCATAGCTGCTCGTTTCTTTAATACAGTCAAGTCCTATGTAAAGCAGGGTAATCGAAACAAGTGATGATATTAGAGTTGTGTCCATAATGCTGCAAGTGACTACGTATGTGAAAAAGGGATATATAATCCGAACGTGTTATGTTATACGTATTCGAAGCGTCTGGTGTAGTTATGGAATTGATTTCAATAAATAATAGATGAAGTATGAAGTAATGGTTGGTTGTTTTTACATTCACCATAATATTAAAACTACTCGAGTACAATAGGTTATAGCAGTGAATATAAAAGGATCACTTAATTAAAACTGCAAATGGCATTTGTTATAAATTAATGAAAAACTAGAAATGTTTTTGTTTATTTGTTGATTGGAAATTGAATACGAAGCTCAAATGAGCCCGTGTTAGTTTCACCCTGTGACATCGGCGATATCAAGAAAATAAGGAACGTAATGAATTAGGAACAAATAGCGTATGATGAGTATTAAGTAACCAAGGGAAATATATTCACATTCATTTTATCCCAGACGGTTTACTAAAGGATGAAGAAAATATGATAATTATTGATTATGCTAAATGTAAAGAAATGCAAAATCAACCAGTTTAAATATTCTCGAAGAGAAATGGCGCAATACATAACAGAACATGTACATTTTCTTTATAATCATGTGGACTGTCAATCAATTTATTTTATGTGTATATAATACATTAAATAGATGTAATGAATTGGTAGGCACTTACGATTCAAGCCATAGGCCTTTGATGTATCAGTTGATATACACTGCAAGATAGATTGAAAAAAAACTATTCACAAGTTTTATATTTGTTCTGCATTAATTGTCTGAAACATCAAATGAATTTGTATTTTTTGAAAATGTATTTTTTGTAAAGATGTATTAAAGTTAAAATGTATACAGAAATAAAATGGGTTAGCTCCTATCATTTCCTTGTGTATACGTTTATGTCTCTGCGTAATAACGCAGATGCGAGCAGGTAGTTATCAGTCTCACCATAAAGTAGCTCGTTCGGGTCAGATAGCATGGCGGGTATTGTAGAAAGTTCCCTTTAACTTTAACATAACGTCTTTGTAACGTTTTCTACACTTACAAATATCGTTCACATTTATAACACGTTACGACAACGTCCAATTTTACCGTTTACATTACGTAGCAAATGTACCAAATTTTGTGAGAACACAACGTCTTTGTAACGTTTTTTACACTTACAAATATCTTTCACATTTAGAACACGTTACGACAACGTCAAATTTTACCGTTTACATTACGTAGCAAATGTACCAAATTTGGTGAGAACACAACGTCTTTGTAACGTTTTCTACACTTACAAATATCTTTCACATTTAAAACACGTTACGACAACGTAAAATTTTACCGTTTACATTACGTAGCAAATGTACCAAATTTGGTGAGAACACAACGTCTTTGTAACGTTTTTTACACTTACAAATATCTTTCACATTTAGAACACGTTACGACAACGTCAAATTTTACCGTTTACATTACGTAGCAAATGTACCAAATTTGGTGAGAACACAACGTCTTCGTAACGTTTTCTACACTTACAAATATCTTTCACATTTAAAACACGTTACGACAACGTCACATTTTACCGTTTATATTACGTAGCAAATGAAACAATTTGGTGAGAACTGCAACGTCTTTGTAATGTTTCCTGCACTTACAAATATTTTATACATTTAAATACGTTACGACAACGTTAAATTTTACCGTTTATATTACGTTGCAAATGAACCAAACTGGTAAAAATTCAACGTCATTGTTACTTTTTTCACACCAGCACAAATTTCGAATTTTACGAACACATTACTACAACGTCATTTTTTAACCATCCACCGACGTTTTGCTGAATGTCACAATTTTACGTTGCTTTGACGTTTATATAACGGAAATATACAACGTCCTCAGTGAACTTATATACCACATATGAGTGACGTGACATGGACGTCACTGTTTGCTGGGTAACGACAAAAACAGACAAATTACTAAATTTTGTATAGTTTTGAATTTCAAACTCAACAGTTTTTCGCTTATTTTATGTTATCCCCGGGCATAAATTTGCAAAGAATACGTTCAGAATATACGTTACTTAATGCATCACCGAATGCGATCTCTATAAAAATCGTTCATCCTTTCATTGATACACAGTAGAAGAAAATACTGCACCAACCTTAGTTTTCTGTTCCATCGCGGCCATTTTATTGGATAAATCAGTGATCGTAGCCGTCCAAGAGGTTTCAGAGGTGTCGTAACCGTCATGCTATAGAAGTCATGAAAACACATCATCATGTAAGTAAAGGGTTTTCACCTAAAATTTCTCGTTTTATCTTGACCCTTCAATTGAATTTTATGGACAAATATTTTATGAAAAATATCATGATGTTATGTTTTTTTGAATTAGACCGTTTCATCTAAATACTTGGACTATATTTCATAGAAGATGCACTTAAAAAATATTGGATTGGATTTACAGGATTTGCCTTAATTTATCAATGTAATGTAAGTATTAGATTAACTCTCAAATTGGGTTATATTTTAATTTTTCTATTAAGATTAATACTAGGCAGTACTCGCTCTCTAGCTCTAAATAGCTAATAAAAATTCAACCCATGGATGTGATTTCGTTGAAAAAAAATATGACAAGTCCGGAATCAAATGATTTGTCCAGAACCTCTTAAGATCCTGTGAGACCCTTTGTTGATTTTTGCATCGCATGATAAATGTTTATCAGTGGCATATAGTGGGTATTTTATGAGTGTTCGCCACGAGTGAGCAAAGCGAACGAGCTTTGAGGGGGGGGGTTCTTTCCCCAAAGAAAATTTGAAAAGAGATTGCATTTGAAGCGTTCTGGGGCGTTTTAAAAACGAAATTTCAACTCCGAAAATTATTATTAGAATTTCATGGTGTATTGATCGCTATAACATGTACGCAGGATTGATCATTTTGAACACTCATGATACCATTAAATAATATAACTATATTTATTGCTAAAATACTACAGGCTTGGGATATCCATTCCACACCAATTTATGTATATCAACGGGACAGTACAGTCATTTTAGTCCACCCTCCGCTATGGCTCAGTGGCAGAGTCAAGGTTATCGTTATATCTTGGCCCCGGGTTCGATTTCCGGCTCAGAAAATATTGTGTGCGTTATATAACTCTGGTTGTTTGAATGAGGCAAGTGTATGAAAGGCAAGTCTGTGATGTGTACTTGTATATCTGTGTACCGTTGCACACAGAAGAACACAGGGCTACTCCATGGAAACGTTTCTGGATCTGTCTCCAAGTATAAAATATGTAAAATAAGGAATACACCAGAGAAGTATTGCTCACCAAATATGGCGGTAACCAAGATACAACACAGTATCGCACAAATGCGAGGGGAACTACCACCATAGACTGTCACAGGAGTACAACTCATCGTTCCAATATATGCTATTTCGCCAACGTTTTTGAACTAGATTCATACATCATTTAGGTAATGATGTGTTTATGCGTAGAATCAAAGCATTGGTTAACAATGTGTGTGTGTGTGTGTGTAAAACTTGCATTGAGTCTTGGACTTAAATGGTAACAATGTGTGTGTGTGTGTGTGTGTGTGCAAAACTCGCATTGAGTCTCAGACTTAAATGGTAACAATGTGTGTGTGTGTGTGCAAAATTCGCATTGAGTCTTGGACTTAAATGGTAACAATGTGTGTGTGTGTGTAAAACTCGCATTGAGTCTTGGACTTAAATGGTAACAATGTGCGTGTGTGTGTAAAACTTGCACTGAGTCTTGGGCTTAAATGTTAACAATGTGTGTGTGTGTGTGTGTGCAAAACTCGCATTGAGTCTTGGACTTAAATGGTAACAATGCGTGTGTGTGTGTAAAACTCGCATTGAGTCTTGGACTTAAATGGTAACAATGTGTGTGTGTGTGTGTAAAACTCGCATTGAGTCTTGGACTTAAATGGTACCAATGTGTGTGTGTGTGTGTGTGTGTGTGTGTGTGTGTGTGTGTGTGTGTGTGTGTGTGTGCAAAACTCGCATTGGGTCTTGGACTTAAATGGTAACAATGTGTGTGTGTGTGCAAAACTTGCATTGAGTCTTGGACTTAAATGGTAACAATGTGTGTGTGTGTGCAAAACTCGCATTGAGTCTTGGACTTAAATGGTAACAATGTGTGTGTGTGTGCAAAACTCGCATTGAGTCTTGGACTTCAATGATAACTGTGTGTGTGTGTGTGTGTGTGTGTGTGTAAAACTCACATTGAGTCTTGGACTTAATGGAAATAAACGCTACTGCCTCGTCTCGTTTGAAAGTTTGATATTTTCCACATCATTTCTAAAAATGTCAATGTGATTGAATAGAGTATGAAAAACTACCTCAGTACTCAAGTACTCATTTGGAGCTCAGTTTTAATGAGGAATTTTTTTTAAACTAATTTTCGCTTAGATTAAAGAATTACATATAGATATTTTCGTAAGCATTTCATTTTTACAATTTCTAGTGAACCCCCTACGTGGAACAAATCTTGAATTCCTTCATTTATGACACTCATGTCATTTTATACTGCCTCCATTTGAACGACATAAAGCGACTGCATGTTTTGTAATCAATTTATTTCTAATATTAATATTGATAGATGAAATACAATCAGTTAATTGCCAAAGTGTAACAACATTAGCCGCAATTTGATGTATAACACATTATGTGAAATAATAGATTGGAGATGAAAAGGAAATTTTGTTACTTTAAATCCATATCTCTGAATCAAGCTTATTTGATCCCATTGGCTTGTATGATGACAAACACAGAAAATAATCAGATAAACGTTGTTTGTAACTGAGTAAATGCTTATTTCGTTTTGACATAGTTACTGTTGTTTGGCATGAAGTCATTATACTATCTAATCCACCTAGAAAACAATGAATTTGGAGGAGAACATAAATTTCTAACACTTTGCAAGTATGAGGGCCTGTAATAGGGTTGTGTCTTTTATTATGTAGTAGTGAACAATTTGAAACAAAATGCATTATTGTCAATAGTACGCCGATAGTATATTTCTCTAAAAATTGCATATCGTCCGATGTGTACTGTGAACTGTTCTCCATCGTATTATATATTGCATTTATTAGATACCATTGTCGTGTACAGTAGTAATTGTTCATATTAGTCTTGATTGGCGTTTTATATTTTATGGTTTATACTCATTAAAAGTATTCGTTGTTTAAACGTCAGACTGTGTTTTTTGTAACTGGAATACGGTATCTAGTAATTTTTGGGCTTTTTTATGCAAAGCTTGGTGTTGTTGGTCATGTTGTGAACTCTCCTTTCCTACATCAGGCATTGACTGCAAAACAATATCGAAGTGCAATTTAATATAGTTTGTTCTACTTATCTGTTTAAAGATATGCTAGGCAGATAAGTAGGTCAGTATTACATAATCATGAAATGAATAAGTCTGAAAATACAATTGGTCAGAATGTACTAAAACCTGCTTGAAACTGAAAAACATTGCATGCTCTATTCCACACAATTTGGAGGCTTTTGAAATTAGCAGTAACAATGAATAAGTGCCTGTATATAATCATTGCATAGAAAACACTTCATGTAGTGTTTATCATATGTATTGAGTTGACCAAAATACTCCTTTGTTTACTACACACTGGACTACATACTTGCACTCTTACATATATGTTACAGTACACATTGTAGAATTATCCCATATAAGAGCTTTGCAAAATCAACATCTTATACTATCAACGTAATAGACGGCTTGCCCAACCTTACAGGCAAACAATTATAGACAAATTTGAAAATAAGACTGGTTTTGTCACATGGAATTATGATAATAAGTAAATAATATTTTTGTAATATTTTGCACAGGTATAACCATGCACAGTAGAATAATACACAGGGTTACCCTAAATTGTAGAAATTTATTTTTGATTATTTACAATAAAATAAACTACTCTTTTGGACATCTTATCATTTTTATTATGTTATTGACGCGATTTAGCTCAATTCTTGAATTTGAAGAACTACTGCTACATTGTTTAATATGCATTATAATAGATCGATTTGATGGTAAGAACTAGTATGTGATATGATCGATTTTACCTTTTTGTCATCATTGCTTAGGAATACAATAATACATTGTACCATTAAATGTACAATTTACATGTGTACATATGTACATATGTATGTACATATGTACATACAATGTACCATTCCAATTAATGATAACTCACTTATTGTATTACTTGTGTTTGATAAACATGCTGGAAGATATGCTTGTAAAATTAGTAAACCATTACCAAAACTATGGTTACCCTGTAGTAGTGAAAGGCACATTAAAAATGAATATCACCCCCTTCAATCTATTTATACAGGTTTTTATGATTATTTCACATTTTTCTATATTTTGCGTAACCAGGACGGTGAATTTTCTTCATTTTTCTTCAAACATTTCGTCTTACCAATATTTATTATACCTGTCAATTTCAAGAAAATCGCGCCGCTACGTTTGAAAATAATTCAAATTATGTCGTTTTTCCCATTGAGCTCCATTATAAAAATCGAATTTTCAAACTTAATATTTTAAAATTCTACGTGGTGAAAAGTTGCATATTGAGCAGTTAGTTAATGTTATGGTGTAAAAAATTCAAAGCAAAAAGGAATAAAGAAAAAATGCCACAGAGAAATCTCAATAACAACTCTTTAACATGTCTTTAAATTTACCTTATTTTCTGTATGTGATAGTGAATAGTTGTCCATTGCCATTCCCAACCAGTAAATGCCCGTCTTCGTTTATACAAACAGCATATGGGTAGGACAAGCCATCACTCGCTGTTAGGAGGTAACTATTGAACATGCCATCAGGGGTGAGTAGTAGTACTCTGTGGTTGTTTTTGTCTGCTACCACGATGTAGTCCTCCTTGTCTGTGTCGACACCATAGGGATATTTCAACTGCCCCTCCCCCGATCCGTATGTACCATAACTGAATAGTATATTGCCAGTCTGGTCCAATCCCTCTATAGAATGTCCGTGAAAGTCACTCACTATAAGTACTCCCTTGCTGTTAGTTGTCACATCGAGAGGCGTATTAAACGTACCAGAAGGAAAGAGTGGTGTTGCATTCCTTGTATCTTTTTCAACAATATATACGTTATCTGTTTTCTCATCGCATACAACCAGCTGACCAGTAGATAGTGTAGTAATACCACGTAGTTGATATGTAGACCCTGTAACTATGCTGCGTATATGATTGCCGTCTGCTGTATAGAAGTAGATTGTGCTAGTCCCATAAGTGAATACCAGTTGATCATCACTTGTAACTGTAACATACGAGAATGATCGACCGATATCTTTGATGAGACTATAATCACTGGCATATATCTTTGTGCCGGCTCCACTTGTTACCACAATATGTCCACCTGATGTTACTGCGATATCCCATATATAGCTCGACTGCAGCTGTCTCTTTGCAACAATTGGGCTGCTTTTTAGTTTTCCAACGGTAACTACAATTACATAAATAAGAAACATATAATAAGTGAATATTAATCACCTGAATCTGAAATCATGTTGTAATACTGTATGTAATATAACAGAAAGTTTTTGATATACATTTTCAGCCCAACTTATATTGCAACTTTAATTTTTAAATGACGCAAAACCACTAGGAGGAAGGTTTCTCAAATAAAGAAACCAGGAAAGTACATTTCGTGAGAAATGTGTCCTAATCGAGGGAATTGATTTGTGAATATCCTAGCAATGGCAGAATTAAACTCTAGTTGTCATCGTATTTTGAAAGCGGAACTCACGAATTACATACTTGCCGAATATTCTGTTGTGATTCCAGAGTTCCTCCTCAGTGCTATACCTGACTTGTACAAGTAGGTTTGCGTATACGAATTCAAAATAACTTATATCAAAAGCTCTCTAATAATAAATTGAGTAAGGCATATTTTATACATTTACTTTGTGATTTGTTTTGTACGGTCTTGTGACAATTGATTAGGTTCGCCAGTTCCTATTATATATGTTATAAACTGCACATTTAGGCTAATAAAAACAGGTTAATAAGTGTTCGCTCAGTGCAATCGCTCATTCTTTATTTCATCTCCCGTCCTTATAGGGATTTTATGCAGATCCCTTATTTCACATCATTCCATTTAAATCATATTGCTATCTCTTTAAAAATTAAGAATTTATCATCAAACTCGTAAGCTGCTTCTGTCATATAATTAAACAATTCCTTTTCATCGAGATGACTTCACTCGAAACCCCCGAACTCCCTCCCAGGCTTGGGGTCTAATTTGTAATAGGAAAATTAGGATTATCCCAATTTGAAACCGACAAAGATCAAAAATCATGATGCGCTTTTTATTTCTCTTTTATCTCAAGCTAATTTTGCTGGTGATTAAGAGTAAGAAAAATAAATCACAAATTAATTCGTCTTTATTTCGCTCAAACGGGAAATAAAGGATTTACCAATTAAGAGACTTGAAATACCAAGCTTTTCATATTTTTGTTACTGTAATTATATCTAATAATCTAGTTAGGTTTTAATATTTTACGAGTTTTGTGTTTAAATGTATTCAGCTGGTAATCACTCTCAAAAATGCAACTCTCTAAGTACATACTAGATTTAAGCAATAATGTAGTGGCACTATAAATGCATAAATAGTGCAGGGTTATAGTTTCATGATCCAGTAATTAACATTAATTATAAGGGATCTACTTTAATTAAAGGTGCTAAAAAATTCATATTTTGGTTTGACGTATCATGTAAACAGGGTGTCCCGAAAGTATGTCCCCCCCCAGGCAACTGAAATCGCATTTTTAATCGAATCATCTATTTCTATGAACTACTTTATATGGTATAATAAATTCCCAATTTTGTCAAGGCATACCTGGGCATTCTGCATCATTACAGGGTCGTGTGTCCGTCAGATCACTTGAATTGCAATGGCTTCCTCCATTATCTGGGGCTGGATTGTCACATGCTCTTGTGCGAGTTTGTTCTCCATCTCCGCAGGATTTAGAACACGCTCCCCAAGCTGACCACGTACCAGGACCTCCGTGAACTAAAACAAAATCACATTTTTTAATCGAATTATTTATTTCTATGAATTACTTCATAGGCTATAATAAATTCCCAAATTCTGTCAAATCATACCGGGGCATTCTGCATCATTACAGGACCGTGTGTCCGTCAATTCAATTGAACTGCACAAACTTCCTCCGTAAGCTGGGACTGGGTTGTCGCATGCTCGTGTGCGAATCTGCTGTCCTTCTCCGCAGGTTGTAGAACACGCTCCCCAAGCTGACCAAGTGCCAGGGGCTCCATTTACTGAAACAAAAGCATATTCGGTTAATAAATCAAATTCTTTATCTCCATGAAATGACTGCAAACGCTATGATCTTTTTCATAGTACTATCATACCGGGGCATTCTGCATCATTACAGGACTGCGTGTCCGTCAGATCACTTGAATTGCATTGGCTTCCACCATTAGCTGGGGCTGGGTTGTCACATGCTCTTGTGCGAGATTGCTCTCCACCTCCGCAGGTTTTAGAACACGCTCCCCAAGCTGACCACGTACCAGGGGCTCCATTTACTGAAACAAAAACATATTCGGCTAAGTAATCAAATTCTTTATATCTATGAGTGTGTGCATACGCTATGATCTTTCCCTCGACTATCATTCCATACCGGGGCATTCTGCATTATTACAGGACCGTGTTTCCGTCAGATCACTTGTATCGCATTGGCTTCCTCCATGAGCTGGGACTGGGTTGTCACATTCTCTTGTGCGAGTTTGTCCTCCACCTCCGCAGGTTGCAGAACACGCTCCCCAAGCTGACCACGTACCAGGGGCTCCATTTTCTGAAACAAAAAACATATTCGGTTGATAAATCAAATTATTTATATCTATGGATGACTGCATACGCCTTGATCTTTCCCTAGAACTATCATTTCATACCGGGGCATTCTGCATCATTACAGGACCGTGTGTCCGTCAGATCACTTGAATTGCATTGGCTTCCACCATGAGCTGGGGTTGGGTTGTCACATGCTCTTGTGCGAGTTTGCTCTCCATCTCCGCAGGTTTTAGAACACGCTCCCCAAGCTGACCACGTACCAGGAACTCCGTGAACTGAAACAATAACATATTCGGTTAACAAACCAAATTATTTATATCTATGAATCTCCCCAAGTTGAACCACGTTTCAGGGCATGCATTAACTGAAACAAAAAAGAAGGTAGATAGAAAAATACCTCAAAACCAATAGAAATGCTATAGCAATTTTTTCTTGTAGTATTACCTTTTAGTCGTTTCTCTGTGTAGAGTACCCACTCATCATCACTTATGATATGAGGATCAGATGTTGAGTTTGGTTGTGCGGAGAGAAGTTCGCAAGTTGCATTTTTAGTGTTAAAATTCACGGCGACGCACTTAGGACTGCAACTTTGCTTCCCACACGTTATTAAGCATTGAACGGCTGCGATTTCCATATCATATCGGCGAAACGGCATGACCGATTCACTGATTCTCGAACTCGAAGAGTTATAAAAGTGACCATTGTTTCGGTAATGCTTATAAGCGACTCCAGAGCTGTTGGTTTCTTTAATACAGTCAAATCCTATGTAAAGCAGGATAATCGAAACAATGGATGACATTAGAGTTGTGTCCATAATGTTATCCAAGTGACTACGTATGTGGAAAGGGGGTATTTAATCTGAACGTGTTATTTTATCCGTATTGGAAGCGTCTGGTGTACTATAGATTTGATTTCTATAAATAATAAATCAAGTATGAAGTAACGGTTGGTTGTTTTTACATTCAACATCATATTAAAACTACTCGAGTACAATAGGATATAGCAGTGTATATAAAGGGATCACTTAAACTGTAAATGTCATTTGTTATAAATTAATGAAATACTAGAAATGTTCTTGTTAATCTGTTGATTGGAAATTGAATACGAAGCTCAAATAATGAGATATTTATGCAACTTTTTCTATATACCAATATTCGTTTCATCCTGTGACATCGGCCATATCAACAAAATAAGATAATAAATTAGGAACAAATGGTGTATTTTACCAAAACGAATTACTAGTTCAAGATGATACCATCGTTTCAAAAGATGAAGCCAAAAGTTGTCGTTTTACAGTATTCAAAAAGAAGCGTTACTATAGTATGCCACGTGTTAGACTTTCAATCAAAATACTATTGCATTCTTAAGTTAAAGATGATATGGTGAGTAGTAAGTAACCAAGGAAAATAGATACACATACATTTTAACCCAGACCGTATACTACAGGATGAAGAAAAGATGATTATTGAAATAATAATGGTTTCCCTACTTTAAATCTAACGCTGGTCATTTTTAAAGTTGATATGAAAATAAAAAATAAGATGAGAAAGTCAATAAGAAAGTATGATTTTGCTAAATGTAAAGAAATGCAAAATCAACCAGTTTAAATATTCTCGAACAGAAATGGTGCAATACATAACAGAACATATACATTTTTTATAATCATGCGGACTATCAATCGTTTTTCATTTTATGTCTATATACTACATCAAATAGATGTAATGAATTGGTAGGCACTTACCATTCAAGTCAAAGGCCTTTGATGTATCAGTTGATATACACTGCAAGATAAATTGAAAAAAATATTCACAAGTTATATATTTGTTCTGTATTAATTGTCTGAAACATCAAAATGAATTTCTGAAACGTTGTTAATCACTATCTTGTCTCAAATGCTCATCTAAATAGATTTGATTTCAGATCTAATAAAATCAAGTTTTTGAACAACAAAGGAACGCCAGACACATAAAACGATTACACGGAATGAGTAATTCACACGGTAATGTTTTCAATTGAGTTATTTCTACAATGTTATTAAAACAAATAATAGGTATCCAGGCCCTTAGCAAGGTGGTTCGCAGGGTTCGGGCGACCCCCCCCCCCCCCACGGCAAAAAATTCTTTCAAAATCATGCAGTTTTTCACCATTTTGAGCACTTCTAAAGTGATTTTAACCATATTTGGGCCAAAATTGTCAAATGTGAAACCCACTGGAAATTTTTGAAAACTGCCCCCCCCCCTTGGCAAATTCCGGCTATGGGCCTGGTATTATATCATCTTTTATCTTCAAATAACACGTGCAAGGTTATACAAACTATACATAATATAACATATAGAATACAACATTCATTCATACACATCGTTTGGCATGGGGAAACGCTATGGATCGAAAAGACCTTATTGTATCCAACAGAAACGATTGTGTAATATTTTATTGTATATTTAAGTATATTTTAAGTATTGCTTATGAGATGTAAAAATGATTTTTGCCAAACTCTGCGTTTGTTCTTATCGCATGAAAATAAAATTAAGCCTTCTGATTGGTCAGTTCTTGTGCTGTAGCAATCTGTATTGCTACTGAGATTGTCCCCATTGATCATCTCCGTCGCATTACAGAAAATGTTGGTACGGAGGGGATATTCTCAGTAGCTATACAGAGGATCACACGATAAAAACGTTATAGAATGATTTGAAGTGCAATACAAGATATATTCGTCTCGTTCCAATACGGAATTTCTCAAGCAGAATATATCCTGAATTGCACTTCAAATCAGTCAATAAATAACTGTATATTGTTTTGCATAGTTCCCCAACTTTACTTTAGACAATTCAGAACAGAATACAGTCACACGTATCAGAAGCTGTGTTTATGCAACTCATTGTTTATGCTTTATTTATTTATGGAAGGTAATAAATTAGGAACAAATAGTGTATTTTACCAAAACGAATTACTAGTTCAAGATGATGCCATTGTTTCAAAAGATGAGGCAAAAGTTCTCGTTTCAAAAAGAAGCGTTACTATAGATGCCACGTGTTACACTTTCAATCAAAATACTATTGCATTCTTAAGTTAAATATGATATGATGATAATTAAGTAGCCAAGGGAAATAGATACACATGCATTTTATCCCAGACTGATACTACAGGATGAAGAAAAGATGATTATTGAAATAATAATGGTTTCCCTACTTTAAATCTAACGCTGGTCATTTTTAAAGTTGATATGAAAATAAAAAATAAGATGAGAAAGTCAATAAGAAAGTATGATTTTGCTAAATGTAAAGAAATGCAAAATCAACCAGTTTAAATATTCTCGAACAGAAATGGTGCAATACATAACAGAACATATACATTTTTTATAATCATGCGGACTATCAATCGTTTTTCATTTTATGTCTATATACTACATCAAATAGATGTAATGAATTGGTAGGCACTTACCATTCAAGTCAAAGGCCTTTGATGTATCAGTTGATATACACTGCAAGATAAATTGAAAAAACTATTCACAAGTTATATATTTGTTCTGTATTAATTGTCTGAAACATCAAAATGAATTTCTGAAACGTTGTTAATCACTATCTTGTCTCAAATGCTCATCTAAATAGATTTGATTTCAGATCTAATAAAATCGAGTTTTTGAACAACAAAGGAACGTCAGGTACATAAAAAGATTACACGGAATGAGTAATTCACACGGTAATGTTTTCAAATTAAGTCATTTCTACAATGTTATTAAAACAAATAATAGGTATCCAGGCCCTTAGCAAAGTGGTTCGCAGGGTTCGGGCGACCCCCCCCCCCCACGGCCAAAAATTATTTCAAAACCATGCAGTTTTTCACCATTTTGAGCACTTCTCAAGTGATTTTAGCGGGCCAAAATTGTCAAATGTAAAACTCCCTGGAAATCTTTGAAAACTGACCCCCCCCCTTGGCAAATTCCGGCTACGGGCCTGGTAGTACAGGCCCGTAAGACACTTTTCTCGAAGGGGGGTGCGGTTTTTACTAAAGAGAACATGAAATTGTCAATTTTTGCCGTGTAAATCAAATCGCGTAAGTCAGAGGGGGGTCGGTTACTCCCTATATTGGGGCCAGTCAGCCTATTTTGTAGTATTTTATTGTTTTTAGACTAAATATTGAATGAGCAATTTGGAGAAACACTGGAATAGGGGGAAGGTGTGCTAGAAGGGCATAAATGTTTACTTGAAACTTTTTACCAGTTCAAGATCACATTCAGTCATTTCTGGACACGTTAAGGTGTTTTAATCAATAGAATCAATTTAAAGAAATTTAGATTTTCAATCATTTTCTCCTTAGGGGAGCGAGGGGGCAGCACAATTCAAGATGCTGTCTGATTAATTCTGAGCACTTTTAATGTGTTTGAGTAAATGAATGCTTTAGTTTTTGGGGTGTGGTGCCAGAAGTTTTTATGATTTCATTATGTCACATTGACCATATCAAGGTGCTATTTGATGATGTCTGGGCACTTTAAAAATGTCTGAGACAATAAGTGAGATTCAGAATTTTTTCAATTGTTTTGTGGGGATTTTGAGGGATGGCAACTCTCCAAAAAAATTTACAATTTTAAGATGATATTTGGTGCATCTGAGTACTTTTAAAGTGTATGAGTCAATAAAAAAATTGAAAAATAATTTTTGAGGGTTGTCAAGGGGGGGGAGTATACAAGAGGGGGAGGTTGGGTGGGGATGCCAGAGGGCGAGTAAAAAGCATTGCCTATATCAAGGAGCTATTTGATGATGTCTGGGAACTTAAAAGTGTCTGAGACAATACAAAAAATTCAGAATTATATCAATTGTTTTGTGGGGGATGTGAGGGGTGGCCAACTCTCCTAGAAAATTTTACAATTTTAATATGCTATTTGGTGCTTTCTAGGCACTTTCAAAGTATATGACTCAAAATGAAAATATGAAAAAATCACATTTTTTTCAATGTGGGGGGTTTAAAGGGGGGGGGGGGGGGTGCCAGAGAGCGAGGTGTGGTGGGGATGCCTGAGGGCTATTAAGTGTTAGTCTCCAAGAATCATTGACTATATCAAGGAGCTATTTGATGATGTCAGGGCACTTTAGAAGTGTCTGAGAAAATGTATAAAATAAATTCGGAACTTTTCAATTGTTTTGTTTTGTGTATGAGGAGTGGCCCACTCCCCCTAGCTAGAAAATTTTAAAATTTTAAGACACTATTTGGTGCTCTCTGGACACTTTCAAAGTGTATGAGTCAATTAAAACATTTGAGAAAATAACAAATGTTTCCATTATTTAAAGAGGTGTCAAAGGGGAGGGGGGTGCCAGAGGGGGAGGTGGGGTGGGGATGCCAGAGGGGGGGCAAGTATTAGTCCCCCAGAAACATTGACTATATCAAGGAGCTACTTGATGATGTCTGGGAACTTTAAAAGTATCTGAGACAATACACAAAATTCAGAATTATTTCAATTGTTTTGGGGGGGATGTGAGGGGTGACCAACTCTCCTAGAAAATTTTACATTTTTAATATGCTATTTGGTGCTTTCTAGGCACTTTCAAAGTACTAATATATGACTCAACAAAAAATATGAAAAAATCACAACTTTTTTTCAATTTGCGGGGTTTAAAGGGGGTGGGGGTGCCAGAGAGCGAGGTGGGGTGGGGATGCCAGAGGGCGAGTAAGTGTTTGTCTCCAACAATCATTGACTATATCAAGGAGCTATTTGATGATGTCAGGGCACTTTAAAAGTGTCTGAAACTATACACAAAATTCAGAATTATTTCAATTGTTTTGTGGGGGATGTGAGGGGTAGCCAACTCTCCAAGAAAATTTTACAATTTTAATATGCTATTTGGTGCTTTCTAGGCACTTTCAAAGTATATGACTCAAAATGAAAATATGAAAAAATCACATTTTTTTCAATGTGGGGGGGTTTAAAGGGGGTGGGGGTGCCAGAGAGCGGGGTGGGGTGGGGATGCCAGAGGGCGAGTAAGTGTTTGTCTCCAAAAATCATTGACTATATCAAGGAGCTACTAGTATTTAATGATGTCAGGTCAATTTAAAAGTGTCTGAGACTATACATAAAATAAATTCAGAACTTTTCCATTGTTTTGTGGGGGGTGTGAAGGCCTAGGGGTGGCCCACCGCCCCGCCCCCCCCCCTCAGAAAATTTTACAATTTTGAGATGCTATTTGGTACTTTCTGGGCATTTTCAAATTGTATGAGTCAATGAAAAAAAATGTCAAAAAAAAAAAATGGGGGTGTCAAAGGGGGGTGCGGTCGCACCCATCGCACCCCCCCCCCCCCCCATCTGACGGCCCTGTAGTATATCATATTTTATATTCAAATAACACGTGCAAGGTTATACAAACTATATAACATAGAATACGACATTAATTCATTCACATCGTTTGGTATGGGGAAACGCTATTGATCGAAAAAGACCTTAATATTGTATCCAAAAGAAACGATTGCGTAATATTTTGATAAATTATATTGTTGCGCAGCATGATTTTGCTTGAGATGTAAAAAATGATTGATGCCAAACTCTGCGTTTGTTCTTATCGCATGATCTCTAAAATGAAGCCTTCTGATTGGTCAGTTCTTGTGCTGTACAAATATGTATTGCTATTGAGATTGTCTCCATTGATCATCTCCGTCGCATGACAGATTGTACTATACGGAGGGGACATTTTCAGTAGCTATACAGAGGATCACACGATAAAAACGTTATATAGAATGATTTGAAGTGCAATACAAGATATATTCGTCTCGTTTCAATACGGGATTTCTCAAGCAGAATATATCCTGAATTGCACTTCAAATCAGTCAATAAATAACTGTATATTGTTTTGCCATAGATCCCCGACTTTAGTGTAGATCATTCAGAATAGAATGCATACAGTCACACGTATTAGAAGTTGTTTATGCAACTCATTGTTTATGCTTAATGCCTGGGTCACATATGCTCCGATCCATCGGCCGGCGCCCAGCCGATTGAGTGTTTTGTTCAGTATTGTATTCAATTTTGAACAAAATACTCAATCGGCCGGGTGCCGTCTTGAAAATCGGAGCATATGTGACCAAGGCATTATTTGAGGTCATATTCTCCTGTAATTCAAATTGAATACATTTAAAAAATACTCAATCGGCCGGGCTCCGGAGTCAAAATCGAAGCAAATGTGACCAAGGCATTACGCATAAAACTGGGTTACACTTGAAATGTGAGTGGTTTTAGGGAGTATTTATCAACTTTCAATATTTTGCGTTCAATTGAACAAGTGACGTTTACATGTATGGCAGGACGATCCCCGATGCAGAGTAGGTATGCTAATGCCCTGGTGTAATAGTTGGACAAATATATCAGACATAAAAGCATGAGGCTTGAAGTATCCCACAATGCCGTTTTATTATGACAACTTCCGGAACTTCCGGTTGTGACAAAACACAATATCACAATCACAATCATAGTGTATGATACAGTTATACATATTGTTACACCCTCCTTTCTTTAAAAAAAACAAGTGAAAGCCAAACATGTTATAGTGAAAATGACAATGTGATATATATATAAGCACTAGCCTATTAATCAGCCAAGTAAATAAAATGTAAAGTATTATCTGTAAGCCTTGTACAGCAATGTATGAAAACAAATAAAGTCTCTTTACACAATAAGTCTCTTTTGTGTACTTTATAGAACATGTATAGAACTTAATTACACAAAAATGTGCTTATCCATCTGAGTTTATCTCAATGTCAGATTCAATGTTATGATGGATACCAGTCTTTTTTTTTTACTAGATAAAGTGTCTATACTCAAGTCTAATTAGACCTTGAATGCAACAAAGCAAAGTTAACACAAAAAAAAATATACTACATGTATGTATACATAGTCTATCATAAAGTCTATTGACTTTTAAAATACATGCAATTTCAGAACTTTTCAATGAACCTATCAGGTGGCTTTGATATCCTGCTAGATCTCCTAATAACTGGCTGGGGGATTGGTTGACTAGGAGCATTAGGGTTAACTTGGGGCTTTGAACTATGGGACTTTGGACTTGAACTTAGGAGCATAGGCTGGACTGGGGCATTTACTTGGGAAGGAGCATTGACAGAAGGCATAGCATCTAAATATTCTTGCATATATGGATCATCTTCTGGTGAATATGGTTTGATGTTAAAAGTCTCTGAGGTTTTAAGAAGATCCACTCTGTCTCTCCTGTATATAACACCTGTCTCAGTCTTAATCTTGTAAGACCTTGCTGTTTCCTTACTTAGTACTTTAGCTTTTGTGTCCCATGATTTACTTCTGATTTTAACTCTTACAGTATCACCTATGTCTAAGTTCGGCAATACTTTGGCTGTTTTATCATAATTCTTTTTCTGTTTTGTTTTAAGTTCTAGTTTTTTCTTTACAGTTTCATTCTCAGGTAGACTTTCACAACTTGGTAATTTTGTTTTTAGCTTTCTACCCATCAATAACTCTGCAGGAGATTTAC